GTGGTTAAGCAAAATACCATTAAGGTGGAGCAGGGCCGGTGCACGCGCACACGCAGGCTTTTTATCCCGTCCTGGTGCCAGAACCGGCTGGCTCCGAGTCAACTTTGTGCTTGTTAAAACCGTCTCGCTATCTAAATCTCGCCCGTTGGCTTTTGCCTCGTCTCTCGGCGTCCGGCCGGAGGTTTGGCGTCCCGTCGTCGTCCCTCGTTGTGGGGTCTGACAGGTGAACTGGGAATCAGCAGGATGATTCAGCGCTACCGGGTCAGGATCTATGATAATGTACCGCTGGGAACATTTCCATATAATGAACACGGTACATCTTCCTTAGAGGCCCTCTTGAGGAACGAAGATGAGGACACACAGATAAAGAGGAGGAGGAGAAAAAAGAGAAAAGATCAAGGGAGGTTTCAAGAATGAGAGAATAAAGGATGGAGAGAACAGCGCAGAAGGCAATAATGAGAAGGAAAATTTAATGGGAGAGACAAAGAAGTGAAAGAGGTGATGTTAATGCGGCGCAGGCAGCAGTTTGAGCTCCTCTGCAGCTCTTGTGAACACTCCTGGCTGTGATGAGCTTTCATATCAGCCTCCTGCTGCTGCCGTAAGAAGAGACGTCGACAGGAAGCTTTCTGCCCGCGCCGCTGTTTTCGCCTGTTTGTGTTCGTACGTCTGCAGCCGCTTTGTCGGGAAGCTAATAACAAATTGTCACGCTGGCTCTTGATTTGCGTGGATAAAAGGCGCCGTAATGAGCCCCATAACGCGAGCAATTTAGCACGCCATTCACAGCCACGTCTGTCAGTCACGTCTCCCGGTGACAAGTCGGGCTTTTGTCCCGGAGTCGGGAACAATGACGCGACACGGTGATGACAGACACGCAAACACGCCCAACTCACAACCCCGCATCTGCCCAACATCCATAACGCTGCAGAGAGCCGGCGTGGAGCTGCTGCTGCTGCTGATGATCTGTGCAGCGCCTGCAGCTCGCTGCTCCATCTTCACGGGTCAATACCGATCAAACACGGCTGATAATGTGCGCGCCGAGTTGATTTTTCGCTTATCTGGGCAGATATCATGACCAGAGCGAGTCCCCTCACTTTAACAGGAATCGTATTTATCGACAGGAGAAGCTTCCCGATCGGAGGAAGTCACAGATTCTAGGTGAAGGTCCAAACCTTCATTTGTTATAAACGTTAAAAACTAACATGAAGAAGTACATTAGAAACAGTTTGTGTTTAAAAACTGTAAAAACTGTTGAAATGATCACAGACGTCTGCAAAATAATGACGCTTTGATTTTTATAAAGTCAAACTAATTTTACTGCCACTGTTGGATGTAGAATCATTTACTGCTATTTACATATTTAATAATTAAATATACACGAATCTAAAATAACAGCAAACATCAGGTTGTTTTTGTGTTTTAAACTAGTGCACACATTATATTTTAATGTTTATGTTTTCTGTTGTTGATATGTAAAATAATACTTTTACTTTTCTGATTTTACAAACATCTAGTTTAACAAAACAGGAAAAGTCTGTAAAATATATATTTTTTAAACTATTTTTCAGTGTCCTGTGTGCGTAATGTTTCTCTGAAATAACAGCAAATATCTGTAAAATTCTATTTTTATAGTGTTTTTACTATAATTATTATTATTGTTGATGTGGATGTTGTGACAGTTTTGTTTTATGTTTTAATAGTAAATTAAAAAAAAATAACAAATTGGTAATTTACATAAAAGTTTGGTGGCTAATTGTTTTCTGTGATTTTATTAGTTTCATAAATAGAGAACGTCTCATCGAGTTTCTGTGAAATTACAGCAAATATCTGTAAAATTCTATTTGTATTATTTTAAATGAAGTCAGAATCGTGTTTTTATGGTATTTTGTTGTGGATGTTGACACAGTTTTGACCTTTTTTATTGTTTACTTGTAAATTAAAACCTTTTTCTGTGGTTTTATTAAAGATCAAAGACGGAAACTGGGAACGTTTCTGTGAAATTACAGCAAATATCAGTAAAATTCTATTTTTCTTTATCAAACTAGTGTCATCTTGTGTTTTTATGGTGGTTTTTTTGTTGATGTTTTTACAGTTTTGACAATTTTTTTTAGTTTTTTTCTGTCTACGAGTGAATTAAAACATTTTCTTCGGTGGTTTTATTAGTTATTAAACAGGGAAAGTCTATAAAATGTTTGTTTCCATCCTTCACATGTAATGTTTCTGTGAAAAACCAGCAAATATGTGTTTCATTGATTTAAATCAAACACGTCATGACTTGGAGGTAAATCGTGTTTATTGATACAAATCCATTATAAAAGACGACAGGTTTCATGTCCACACAGGTTTCCCACTCGGTCGGTTACAGAACCAACGTTATACAGAAAACGAAGCTTTCCTCCTTATTTACATGAAGTCTGTGCTGCTGATCCCTGATGAGGAGAACTCGTCCTCCAGAAGAACTTCAGCTGCTCGAGTCCTAAACGTTCACATCATTGGCACGTAATTGGAGTTTAGCCCGGGTTTGACCCGTTTGCGGCGATCGAGGAGCCGATTCGACGCCCGGCTGCCCTCCGTCAATACACCTGGTGTGACCTATCGGCGGATCCATCCATCGACCGCCTCCCGCCTCCTCCCCCGCTCTCATTAGATCCACTCTATTAAGCTCCTCGAGCTTCCGTCTGCCGGTGGCTCGGAGACAATCGAGAGCCCCGCTGGTGGTCGAGGAGCTCCGAGGAGCTGATGAAACGCAGCACGTCTGCAGCTCGTTCTGTCTTTGAGGAGGCACGGCGGCGTTTCATTAACTTATTAGGACGCGTGGAGACGAACAGATTCGTGTTTCTGATGTTAGAGACAGACAGGAAACGACTGAAGATCCTCCTCTGAAGCTCACAAACGTTAGCTCAACAGCTACAGCGGCTTGTTTTAAGATTAAAGACGCTGTTTGTTCGTTTGTGGGCTTCAGACGTCTGACGCTTCATGTTTGCTCAGCAAAAGGCCAGAATCGAGCAGGAGAGGCTTTTATTTTGAAAAGGCACCCGTTCTAGGAGGCAGGAAGTGAAAATTGAGGTCGTTTGTTCAGTGTACAATAAAAAAATAAAATCCCGCAACGAAACAGTGAAAATACACAAAAAACCCAAAACAGTATAAAATGTAACGTGAGCCGCTTTAGGAGCAGCAGGTTTGTGTTCAGGCTGATTTACAGTCAGACGCTTCGTAAGAAGATGAAACACTTCCTGTAAAGATTTAAGGATTTACAGTTTGGGCCTCGTTTACAGTGAACATGTGAATTAATACTTTTACTTCTTATCTGTAATTTAATAACTTTATAAAAAAAATCATTTAAAATTTTTCAGCATCAAACGTCCAAAAAATATCATAAAATTACATTTTATTGATTTAAATAAAGTCAAAATATCATAATTTTTATATTTTTTATGGAGTTTTTCATGTTAGGACCATTTTCTTGTGGTTAACTAACAAATTAAACTTTTATTTTGTGATTTCAGTCGTTATTTATAATTTAAAGTAACAGTAAATTAAAATTAAAATCACAAACTGTTCATTTTGTGCCGCTGACGGTTTGGTTTCCAGTAACTGTGTCTGAGGAGTTTTATTTCTAACGTCGCGTTGAGAACGTCCGTCTGCTGCGTTCTATGTGGAAGCTTTTTAAAAAAATATACATAACAGAAACGTTCTATAATGTGTTCCCTCAACAAAAAGGCAAAACGTTTCACCCTGAATATATGAGTCACATGACAGGAAAGATAGAATACGTTCTCTTTGCAAAGGTTGTCTGATGCTTCCAGAACATCTGGAACATGTTTTGGAATATTATTTGGAATGTTGGTTTGAGAACGTTC